TTACTGTTCGATGAATCGTCCACACATAAGATCCCTCATAATTCGTTGAGGACGCTATGCCGGGAGGAGGCAGTCTCTCTGGAACGGGATGTTCTCCTAAAAACTTTGCTATGAAGTCCGCCAACACCTGACCCTTTATAACGGTTCGAGGTTTGAAATGAATGTCGTGTTCCTCCAGCTCCACTGCCCACTTGAAAATCCTTTCGGAGAGGTTTGCCTTTCTCAAAAAGGCCTGTAAGGACGGTAATTGGGTGCGCCTGGAAATAATGCCTTAGTTTTCTTGCAGTTGTGATAAGGGATAGAACCAGTTTCTCTAGGGGCAGGTATCTTATCTCCACGTCCAGGAGCACCTTGCTTATCTAATAAATTGGCTTCTGGCGGTGCTCATGCTCACGAATAAGTACCCCGCTGACGACAAATTATGACACGGATAAGTACAAGAAGAATATTTTCCCCTGGATAGGGACAGATAGGGTCGGGAGAGTCCTGAGGTATTCCTTGATTCCAGCCAGAGCGTCTTCGCACCCCTGACTCCACATATCCTTCTCATCCATCTTGATGGCTCCAAAAAAGGGTTTGCATTTGTTTGAGGAGTGTGAGACGAAACGATTAAGTGCTGCCAGCATCCCTATGAGCTTTTGGACTTCTCGGACAGTTCGGGGTCTCCGGATGTCTAGGATCGCTTGAATCTGATCCGGATTAGCTTCGATTCCTCGCTGACTCACCAGATATCCGAGAAATTTACCCGACTCTACTCCGAAAATGCACCTTACAGCGTTCAGCTTCAGCCCGTACTCCCTGAGGGTGGAGAAGGTATCTGTCAAATCTACCAAGTGGTCACAGCTTCGTTTGCTCTTCACTAGCATATCGTCAATGTAGACCTCCATGGTGTTGCCGATCTACTTTTTAAACATCCGATTCATCAGTCTTTGGTATGTTACCCCGACGTTCTTTAGCCCAAATGGCATCACTTTGTAACAGTAAACTCCCTTTGGAGTGATAAACGCCATTTTTTCCTGATCTGGGAGATAGAGAGGGATCTGGTGATATCCTGCTCGGGCATCCAAGAAGTCCATGCGTTCATATCCGGCAGTGGCATCCACTAACTGGTCCACCTTTGGTAGGGGGTAGTCGTCTTTGGGACATGCCTTGTTTAGATCAGTGAAGTTTACGCAGACACGCCATTTTCCCCTCTTCTTCTTCGCGCAAACCGTGTTAGACAGCCATTCTGGGAATTGTACTTCCCGAATGGCGTTGGCCTCCAGGAGTTTATCAATCTCTTCGTTGACCGTGCGAGCGTGGTGCGGGGCCATGCTTGTGGCTTCTGTTTTACTGGCTTGTGCGCCGGGTCAACATGCTGCTTGTGTGTGATTATTTCAGACTCCCGTCATTTCCATTGCGTTTCAAGCGAACACGTCTGTATTTTACCTCAGGAACTCAATCATCTCCTCCTGTTCGGCTATGAGCATCGCGGTTCCAAGTATGAAATATCTTTCCTCCTCATCCTCCACCAAGTGCACCTTTCAAAGGTCTTCCACCGACCGTTCTGTCGGGTCAATCCGAGGGTCATCCATTCCTGGACGCCCGGACTGTGATTGCTATTTTTCCAGGATCTCTTCCGGAGCGCGTCCCTTTTCTTGGGTGAAAGCCCCTACTCTAACAGCTGAATAAAAATATTTTTTTGCGGACGCTTGGTCCCCTCGAATCTTCATAATCCCCTCTGGCGTGGTGAATTTCAGTTTCTGGTGATAAATGGAGTGCACCGCTCCCAACGCATGTAGCCATGCTCGTCCCATGATCACATTGTAGGGAGAGTCCGTATCAATCACGATAAACTCGGTGTTGATGGTGAAGGGACCTGTGACAACTGGCAATGTGATTTTGCCTATGGGCAGGGTGAACGAGCCGTTGAATCCGATGAGGGGTGTCCTGACCTTGGTGAGGTCCTTGTGGTCAAGACCCATCCGTTTTAAAGTGTCAGAGTACATCACTTCCGACGAACTTCCGGAGTCTATCAACACCCTCTTGACGTCGAACTTGCCTATCTTCAGGGTTATGACAAGGGCGTCGTTATAAGGAGTCACCATGCCCGTCAAGTCCGCGTCGGAGAACGTGATGCTCGGCTCTCCAATTCTGGCCCTTTTACTGGGCGGCCCTCCATCATTCTCGGCTATCTTTCTTGTAAAAGCTACCCTCTTGAGATCGGACTCGAGTTCCTTGGACGTGGGGCGATCTAGCGGACATACATGGATCACATCTATGACGTTGTCCGGCTCCTCGGTCGGGACAGGGGTGCGTCTCTCTTTCGGCCTGGGCTCTATGTATTCTTTTAAGTATCCGTCTCGACCAATCTTTCCAAGAAAGATTTGTATACCCTACAGCTTTCGGTGCGATGACCAAAATCTCAGTGATAGGAACACCTAACCTTTTGATCACGGGTGGAGGGATCGCTCTGCATCCTCGGGGGCCACTTGAAGAATGGCTCACGCTTGATCTTATGGAGCAACTTGTAGATGGGTTCTTTGAACATAGTGTGAACTCCTTTCAATGACCCCCTGGAGGGGGTAGCAGTCCCTTTCGGGAAGTATCCTCCCACTCCCTCTCTTTTCTCTTAGGTTGGAGGGTTCTGTCTTTGCTGCTTCCCATCTCGTTCTCGACCCTAGAGTACTAGTTTATCCGGGCCATCAACTCGCCCATATCCGAGGGAGTCTTTTTGGTCAGGGATCGGTACAGGTTTGTGTCCCTTGCCAAGCCGAGCCTGACAGACGCCGCTGCCATGACTTCCGAGTAGCCCTCTACCTCATTAACCTCTTCTCAGTACCGGATGACGTACTGGCGAAGGGTCTCGAATTCCCTCCGTCTGAGCGTTAGCAATGATCCAACGTCTTTAGGCCGCTTACTCCCCATAATGAATCGGGCCAGGAACTGCCTCGTAAATTCTTTCCATGATCTAATGCTGTTAGGGGAAAGCGTCTCGAACCACTTCATCGCAGAGTCCCCCAAGCTCATGGGAAACACTCGGGAGAGGAACCGTTGGTCTGAATAATACAGGGACATCATTTGCTTGTATTACCTGAGGTGGGCTTCGGGATCGGACCGCCCACCATAAGTTTTGAACCTCGGCACGACGAATTTTTTGGAACCTCCATCTCTCTGATATCCCTGGTAAAGGGTGTTTGTATGACCTCGTCTTCGACCTCATCCTGGACAGCCTTACTCTTTCTCCTGGATTCCAACCGAGCTCTGAGATCAATTTTTCCCCCAACGGGATGTCTTCTGAAGTCTCCGAGTTCATCAATAGGTCCCCCATTTCCTGGGCGTCATGTGGATAGGGTTGAATCCTCCTCGGACTCATCTCCCTTCCTCCGCCTTGACAATCCTTGTCGGAGGTCGTCCAGGGCTAAAGGTCTTGCCTTCCTGGAGTGGTCGTTAAGAGGGTGCTCGTTGGCTCTTGGTCGCTTTGGGGCCCTGGAGCTTTCTGCCTTGTTATTTAAATGATTCCTCAAATCCTTCGTTTTTGCCTCCCAGACGGGGGAGTCCACGAGAAAGGAATGAGTCTCTCGACCCTTCGCCGGAGGCGGCGAATTCGTTGAGCCGGCTTAGGACGTTCATATTGTCTTTTTTCAACTGTCGTAATCGATCCCCAAAATTTTCTTCTATCACCTCCGCCAGTTGACGAGCCAAGGGGGCGGATCCTCCTGACCTGATGCCCATACTGGTTTGAGGAGTAAGCCTTCTTGATTGAATAGAGGCATTTCTATTCCCATCAGTGTGATTCCTCCCTCCATTATGACATGGAGCTCGTAATTCAAGATTTTTTTGCTGGGGACCTTTCTTTTTTTATCGAGTATTCACCATGGTCACTGTTCTTTATAGAGAAAAAACTAGAAAAATTAGTCGTTTCCCACAGACGACGCCGGATTGTGCGTGTAGGATCTTGCACAATATAAACTCGAGAACAAATCTCCCCCATGGTGAACTCGAGTCAGTCAATCAAATGGTCAACCTTTCTATTTGGAACAGGCTGAGATTCGTTGGTGGCCTGGAACGGTAATGGATAACTTTCGTGGATCAAGGGAGCGGTTCAATAAACTTGAGGGAGGTTCCTGAAACAGAGAAAGACAAGTTAGAAGGGCGCCGGAGTGTTTTTCGGCGTATCCCCTCCGATGATCAAATCAGTTTTTGAGAGAGGGGAAGAATAAAACACTGAGTATAGGTTTGAGAAAAGGTTTTTTCGTTGCATACCGTCTTGCCTTTTGTGAGGAGTATTTATACCTCAAAAACTCATGATTGCTGTCAGTGTGGTCAGTAGGAGATCATTAGATACGGACAACGTGCGCACTGATTCCTATGAGGAATGTCTTCTCTTTTAACTGCTCGAGATCCCGAGCAACCAAGGCTGCGTCATCGCCCTGCCGACTGTTTAATGAGCTCCTCTCGGTAAGGATATAATAAATGCCCAGTCTTAGGGACATTTATTACATTTCACTTCCGAGCCTTACATCATTAAATGTTGTCTCATCAAGGGAATGGTGTAATTAAATGTTTGCTTTCTCAAGTTGTGTGTCAGCAAGGACATCCGGTCTTTTTGTCTCTGATATGACACAATATGATATGCGCCCATTCCCCATTGGCTGTGTCTTCTGCCTTCTTGTGCCTTCTGACACCAATTGTGTAAGATGAGGTCATGATGACTAATCTAGCCTAGCCTAGGCTAGTGACCTGTACATCAATAGCCTCTGCAGGAGCAGATAACGCCATCTTGGACGGATATATCTCGGTACCGAGAGGAAGTGGTACATGTAGGGACTGATGTACCCATATCCGACCGAGTGATACGTGTCGGTACGTAACGTACTGGGTGTCATTGATCTCTATGAACAGTATCTCGGGGGAACAGAGACTTGGGATCCGACGGGTACATGTCGTGATTATAATAACAAGAATTTACTGATACCGAAGACACGTGTCTTTATCTTAGAGTATTTGAAATTGTCCCATCAATAACCATACCATATATTCGTCTGCTTCCGGAAAGCCGCAGCAACCTGGTCCATAGGTCCAATCCAGACACTTGCTCTTATTACTGAGTCTGACACATAAGGGATCTGGGTACGGATAGTGGACAACGATGGGAATTTTGCATACTAAGCACAGATTCAAGTCTTTAACTTTGAGAAAAGGAAATGAAGGCAAAGTAAAAGATATTGTGGAGCCAGTGATCTTATAGCTAAACCAATGTGGAACTTCTCTTCCAGGAAAGTATGTGTTAAACTTGAACTTGTACCACATAATCTGTGAAATTTATTCATAGTTTCAGCTGTACGTTAAATCATGAGGGAGAGAGAGAGGGAGAGAGAGAGAGAGAGAACCTGGGCTGGACGCTTCATTCTACTCAATTGAAAGCGATTAACAATAGTCAAATCAACATTTGCCATGGAGTCCAAGTTGAAGAAGCCAATGTTGTTGATCACTTGTAAATCAACATTTCCAACGTCTTCTATCTTGTAGCAGCGCTGAACGTAGCAGAGACTTCCGTTACCACAACTTGTAATGCGTCGTGCAGTATCCAACAGACTTAGGAGTGTTATGGTTTTCAATGATATGCACCATGTGACATTCAATTTTTCGACAACAACCGATGGCCATTGAATTTGTTGGAGCCTTGGACACTGAGATAAATCAACTTTTTTCATATTTTTCAGATCTTTAATGCAATCTGGCAGTCTACAAACTGGATTCCCTGTCAGAACTAGGCACTTCAAATTTGACAGCTTACTAAAATCCTGGGGAAAATCATCATCATAGAGATTGCAATTCTTTAGACTTAGAGTTACTAAACAGCTTGGTAAAGAATCCCATGATCTTTCTGGATTTTTCGATATTTTTGATACCCATGGCAAGATGAATGCGTGCCATGGTGTGGAGTCTCTACAGTTAGAGAGTACTTGATTTATATCAATTCCATCCGCACGAAGTGCTATCAATGATTCCATCTCCCCCAATTGCTCTGCCAACCCAGCAAGGTTTGAGCATCCAGAAATAATAAGTTGTTCCAGAGATTTAACCATTGGTAACTTTCTCAGATTTTTGCAATCTTGTAGATTCAACAAAGAAAGCCTCTCTAAGTTTTGCAATAGATTCACCAAGCTCGACTAGTCTTTGAGAACTAGTTTTTCAAGATTGGGGATATTAGAGAAGTCTCAAGCTTTTGTGAGGTGAGGAGAATGACTGAGATTAAGGATTTTCAAAAATCCAAGAATCTATTTCAAAATGTAAGAAGAGGAAGGGAGTTAAAGTAATTTCTTTCACCCAAATAAAAATAACCAAGACAATGTTTTTGAAAAAATGGAGAAAGTAGAAAAGAGTACCATACCTTAGTTCCATTCCAAACTTGCTATACCGTAGGTCAAGAACAACCACGTTCTCAAGAGGAAAATTATTGGGTAGAGATTTTAAATGAAAACCACGCCAATACAACCGTATGACTCTTTTAGGAAATACCTCATAATTTCCAGAGAGTTGAAAGTTACTAAGCTTGAGTAGTCTAAGGTGGTGCATATTTTCAAATGCTTCGGTGTTTAAGACCAAATGACATGTTTCTTACAGTTTTTTCTCTCAGAATGTTGAAGGAGTCTTTATGACGCCAGATTCTGCTACGTTCCTCAGGATACTTTGATTCTTGGAAAATAATTTGCCTTCCCATCTCTTCAAGCAACTGATGCATTCTGATCTTATCGTTTTCAATTGTTAGGAGACATCTATCTTTGAGATTTTGAATCCCAGTTTCAGGATAGCAATTAGGTCCATCTAGGATTGAAACTATGTCACTTTTGTTTTTTCCAACAAAGAAACAAACTATATCAAGGAATAGGTTTCTATCGTGATCATCTTCTAACAAGTCATAGCTTATTCTAAGCTTATCTACAATTTTACTATACAAAATTGCTTCCAATTTCTTTAATGCACTCTCCAATACATCTAAACTTTGCCCACATACAGAAGAGCCCAAAACTTTAAGAGCTAAAGGAAGCCCATCGCAGTAGCTTACAAACCTTTCTGTTTGCTCCATGTAACTTTCCTCAGGATGTTTTTGTCCGAAAGCATGCCAACTGAAAAACTCCAACGATTCATGGTTACTCAATTTTTCAACCTTGTACACTTCATAATTTTCATGAGCCTTTAGCAAACGCTCCCGCCTAGTTGTTATGATGATTTTATTCCCTGGAAAAAACCAATTTTGTATACCAAAAACTGCATCTAATTGGTCCACTTCATCCACATCATCCAAAGTTAGAAGAACTCTTTTATTGCGCAAGGCATATTGAAGCTTGATAATTCCTTCATCTATACTGTATATTTTTTCTGTCTTATTATGTAGAATATCTGAAAGTAGTTGGCGCTGCAAACGAACTACACTTTTTGGTTCTTTAGAAACTTCCCTGATATTTTCAAGAAGTTGGTACCATCAAATCTAAAGTGGTTTGAATTGTGTATAAATTTGGCAATGGTCATCTTGCCGATACCGCCCATTCCATATATCATCAAGATGCCAACATTGGTTGATCTATCCCTTAACCACAAATTAATGCTATGGACTCGAGAATCTATTCCAATCAGGTGGGGGCTAACATTTAGGACTCTCCAAGTTAGCTTTTGTTTAACCGCTCCAACGATTTTCTGGATGAATTTCGACTCGTGCCTGAAAATTCGATTCAAAAAGAAAAATGAAGCATAATAAGCATGTGAAAGGCTTGATAAGCTTACAAATTCAGTGCACATAGAAAACCAAAAAAGACTACTAAGAAATGAATATAGCTTAAAATAGTTAAATGTTTTCCTTGTTGATCCAAAAAAATTAGAGTGATGAAAGTTGTGCCAAAATAAAGAAAACCTTATATCCCAAGGAACTTCAGCAAATATTCTAATATCTATTATTGCCATGGATGATCGAAATAATGACACAGGTTTCAAATCTTCATCAAACCCAATAAATTTACATGCTCATCCTTAAATGTTTTTTTCTTGTTACACTAAATTGTTTTCCATTATTTGTCAATACTGTGTTTTTCACTTTTTTGATAAAAGAAAATAACAATCATGTACTATGGATTTCTATTTGCAGTAATAAACCTCATTGAAGTACTGGATAAAGTGCAAAGTGGCACAAATGGATCGGGTTTTTCATAAAGTTTCCTTCATAATGCTGTTGTACATCAATGTGTTAAAGAGGCCAATCACCATAATAAATGGTTACGAAAAAAAAGCTCATCTCTATCACCTAAGCGTCCAACACACACACACACATTACTTCTGCCAATTGTAGAGAGTAAAGTTGAATTTGTTTCATGACATACACACATACATACCAGTGGATCCCAGGCACAACCATACTCAGGACAGAACCAAGATGGTTATGAAGTGGGGGTAACCTAAAACTTGTTAGAGCATCTCCAATAGAATGATTTAAAACTCTTACGTAGTTAAAATTTAACTATTCAAAGGCAAAAAAATGCTCTAACAGAAGATGTTTAGTGTAGGTAAAATACATTTTTCTTAGAATGATACTCTATATTTAGAATATCATTGCAACATTATGTATAAATAGTTTATAATATATTTTCTCTCCTCTTATCATTGCAACTTTATTTTTTCTTCCATTTTTTCTCTATCTTTTTAATAGTCTCAACAAATGTTCAAGATCTGAGAAATAATATTTAAAAGCAGTAGTTAAAATATAGAAAATTTATTGGAGTATGTATTGAAAAAGTGAGTAGGTAAAATAGAAAAAATGCACTTTTAGATCTGTAGGGTACTAGTCATTCAAGTCTTAGAATTCATATTGGGGTTCGATGATTGATCATCATACTAGCCTAGTTAAGTTCGTTCCTATGAGAAGTAACGGGCGTAGTTAGAGGTCTCATGATTCCACCAGTGAGGACCTATCGGAGTAGTCTTTAGGCGCTCTCCTTGACCCCTACCCTTTTTTCTCCGAGTGAAAAAAAAAATAACCAATAAAACAGAATAATTATATGATTGGGAAAAAAAAAGTACTGACTAATAATCCAATTTTAAAAGATGATTAATCCTGAATGGCAACTATCAAAACTCATGAAGACGATAAGTCTTCAATTCAACCTCATAGATTTTATTAGAAATAAATAATTATGACACCATCCGATTAAATTAATATCGTAGCATCAAACTCCATATTGTTTTCCTCACCCACAATGATATTTCTGTTGACGTGAGTTGCAACGCTGCAATAATTCTACTTCAAAAACATGAGTAAATAAGGTATCACAAAACTTGCTTGAAGAGTAAAACTGAAATTTACCCCCAAAAACAAAAAATAGCAATGATAGAAATACTGTAGTTGTATGGGTTTTGGGTAATTGAGGCCGTGTTCATTGACCAACCATTACGTTTAAATTTGTAATAGTTTCAATAAAATATTTAAAAATTAAAATCCTTTTGACCTCAGGCAGTCCATAATTTTCTTGGGCTCACGCACAGTCATGCCTACTGAAATACTTTGCTCATTCCGTAATGATTTTTGTCCGTGGCATTCTAACAAACACTTAACAACAAAAATAGTTTGACAGAAAAATTACTATATTATATGAAAAATTTCTGAAAAGCTTTTAGAAACCTATAATGGATTATTAGTTTACCTCTAGACAGATCCCACTGAATCTTCTAGGGCTCTCATCAGCGGCAGATTTACATGATGATCAGTGTGGTTAATGGACGATTAAAAAGAGACACAATCACAAGGTGGAGATAAATAGGTTACGTAGCTTGTGCGGTTCTACGAGGATGACTGGTTCGGTTGATGACTGCAGAGGGAAGAGAAAGAAGAGAGAGTAGAAAGAGAGATCGTGTGAAGTAATTTTATTTTGGATCGTCCAAAGTAATAGTAGGAAAAGTGAAATGAAGATCATAATTTAGCAGGACCTGTTGGTTTTTTTTTATGGAGTCTAATTTGTATATGTGATCCGGATGATGACCCGACCCGAAAAAATGTTGTGTGGTTTTTAATGGAAAATTTTTTGAGGCTTAGTTCATGGAGTGAAGGCTTGGGCCGATAGGCCCAAGCCGTAGCGCTCATGGACAAGCCTCGTGGGGATAGTACAGTCGTTATACAGCCCAGTGCATAGGACATATAAACCCTGTTGTTTTGGTGATTAGGGTTGTTGTGGATATTACAGTCGTTCTCTGTAATTCAACTCTCTCAATAGTGAAATCCCTGCAGTTTCGTGGACGTAGGCAAATTGCCGAACCACGTAAAATCTGTGTCTTGTTCTTTCTTGTTTCTTATTGCTTTATATTCTTGATTTGTTCTTCGATTGTGTGTGTTTGTTAGTGGATTTAAATCGTGTTAAATCCCAACAACTAGTATCAGAGCTCTAGGTTAAGAGGTCAAGGGTTTACACAATGACAGAAGATAAAGTTAAGATCAAAAAATTCAATAGCACGAACTACGCGTTTTGGAAGATGCAGATGGAGGATATTCTGTATCAGAAGGATCTTTATCAACCTATCGACGGGAAGAAGCCAGCGGATATGGAGCAAGCAAAGTGGGATGTTCTGGATCGCAAAGCCCTAGGGACTGTGCGATTGTGCCTAGCGCCGTCAGTTGCATCGAACATCGCCAAAGAAAAGACTACATCAGATTTGTTCAAAGCCCTAGAAA